CATGTTTGGTGTGACGGGGATTCGAACCCGCGACCCTCATATTGCGAGTCGAGCGCCCTAGCCACCTGGCCATGCCGGGCCATCAAAGAAGGTTATGGAAATGTTTTGAACGTTCGTAAGTGTCAACGATCGTTCAGCAAATTTCGTTCAAGTGACTTTAGCCTTAAAAACTGTGATGGCAGGGGCCGACATGTTGGAATTGATATTGATGCTCTGAAGACGCTTCTTAAGTCTAACCCAAAGCAGCATACTCGTGAAATGACCCTGAAATTGCATGCCTCTCATGAAGCAATACGTGAACATTATAAATGAATATGGGAAAACTCCTTAAAAAAGGTGTTTAGGTGCCTCACGAACTCTCTGGTGATCGTTTCCAACATGTAAACGTTACTTCGTCTCTTTTGTCGCGTAATGTGTGTGAAACATTTTTGGACAGAATTGTCACCGATGACGAAAAATGTATTCTCTATGCTAATATTAAACGTCTAAAAACAATGGCTTACTCCTAGACAAATACCACTTCCGACCCCAAAGCCTGGACTCCATCCGCAGAAAGTGATGCTTTGCATTTGGTGGGACATCAAAGGAGTAATTCTTTTCGAACTCCTCAATCCACAGCGATCTGTCAATGCAGAGATCTATAGTCAGCAACTGGAACGTTTAAACCAAGCCCTTCATCAGAAACGCTCTTCACTCGTCAATCGGGAGTTGGGTTGGGAAGTTCTCCCCCACCCACCATATTCTCCAGATATGGCATCATCAGATTACAATCTTTTTCGTTTGCTGCTACACCATCTTAATGGGAAAACTTATGCAAATGTGGAAGGTGTTAAAGAGAACATCGACATGTTTTTGTTTTTTTGCTTCAAAGCCAAGTGATTTCTTTAATCAGGGCATTAACAACCTGATTGTAAGATGTAAAAGCATCATGGATAAGAATGGAGACTATTTCATTTAATAAATGTTTTGTTTTGATATATAAGTTGTTCTGGTTTTTTTCATCTAAAAAAAAGCGACATTAATTTCTTCATGACCTAATACAATTGTAGCATGAAGAAAAGTTATGAAATAGAATGAGATTTTCAATGTGTTTAAAAACATTAACACTCACTACTTCAGAAAACAACTGACTTCTATTGTTTAATAGGCCTAGCATGGCCTGGAGGACTTAGGACGTTCAACTCACAATCTGCAGGTCGCGGGTTCGAATCTCATCACCGAACATATTCATCTTTGCAACGGTGGTGACGTCATAAGGTAACGGTCAATCCCACTGTTCGTTAATAAAATAGTAACCCCAGAGTTGGCGGTGGGTGATATTAAGCAGCTGACTCCCCTCTATTCTGTCACTTCTAAAGTAGATACGACTAACGCGGGTAGTCCTGGAGTGAATTTGTGTGAAATTCAACAAACAAAAGATACGTCTACTACAAAATGGCCATTATTAGCCCCCCCCCCCCAAGTGGGACAGCGGTATGTCTGCGGAGCACAGATAGCCCATTGTGTAACTTGGTGCTTAATCACAAACAACCATTATTAGTCTTGAAAAGTAGAAAGGTTAGATAAAAATTGAACTTTAATTACTGTCAAAGACAATTATCATTATCTGATTTCAGTGACGTCATTACTCTTCTAATGCCAATCGAACTTCCCAAACTTGAATCGTTGATTTAGGATATTTCTTTGTTTTCAGTTTAAGAAGAATTATCTGCTTAATATTAACATTATTCTTATGAAAGGAGAGGAAATATACGACCAAGTTGAAATGTTACAATTGTATAAAGTTTGTTACAAATATTTCTTTGTTTTCTTTACTTTATTATTTCCAAAGTCACGTGATGCACTTCTTAACAGACTCTAGGATTTATATTTAGGTTAAACTTTAATGTGCTTTTTCATAAACAGTAATTATGTTTTATGCGAATAAATTACCACCTCTAATAAAAGTTAATGTACTTACCACAACTATCAGTATTTGGGAGAATTCGGGAGATGCATATTACACAAAGGAATAAACCAGATTTCCATAGGAAAACAGGCCTAAGTAAATAGTTCATATGTATAACATAAATATAGCCCTTACAGTACTGATCAATACGAAACAAAACGTATAGAAAGTTTGCACATCGTTACTAGTAAGCTTTCAATAATTAATGTTGTCATCTTCAGGCATCTGTAGCTTAGTCGTTTAGAGTTCGAGTCCAAAGATATTTAATATGACAGTAACGACGAAACATGTTAATTTATTTTCAGGCTTGGTTGAAGTAGTTTCATATATAAAGACTGCTTGGTCCGAAGTGTTTCCACATTCGAACAACATCCTGTTATCTTCAAATGCTGATTGCGTACTGGCGTTCCACATCCTCAAGTATGTAACACTTTGCGTGTTCTTTAATGCGTGCTTCAAAAGTTCTAACTGCTGAACCTATAAAGCCTCGTAAACACTGATGGAAAATTACACACACACACACACACACACACACACACACACACACATATATATATATATATATATATATATATAATATGTAATTGTCTTAGAGCAAACTCAAACTTAACTCAAATAATTCTGAATTCTTAGTTGTGTGATGCAAGTAATTTTAACGTCAAATTTGATGACGAAAAACCAATTTTAGAAAATAAAGTTTCGAGGTAGCTTGAATGGGTGGGAAGTAAAACAAACTTTATTAGAAATGTACAACGTTTCGACAAGCTTTTGTCACAAATCATTTGTTCATGAGAAAGATCACAGAAGAAACTGGAATTACAGCAATCCCATTCGATCATCTATAAATCATAAATAAATAGCTTTCAAACTACTGATTACATTAACTGTTAATAGGCGATTGAATCAGCACTATAAAGCAATAATGAATTAAATATCGCAATACCGTTATCGGTCCTGGTTGTCAACTTATTGTCATAGCGGATTAATGTCTGTGGTAATAGCACCCAAATGCGTTGGGGATATCCCATCTATCAGGCAAAATCCAAACGCTGATGTTAATCTAGCCAGCCTTCATGGAAAATCAAATAAGGGTACAAAGCTAAGTGCTTACACTCGCTGTCTATAGCCAGTTGTGGGAACACAGTTATCCTTAAATTTCTTAAAGTAGAAACCACCCTAACATTTCTACTAATTAAACTCCCAACCTCCACACTTACAAAAAGATATTAAATAAAACTCTAAGGTATTACATAGAACTGAATAAAACTATAAGATATTACATAGAACTAAATGGAACTATAAGATATTAAATAGAACTATAAACCATACCTTAAAAATTCTTATATAGTTCTTACTCCCAACCCGATAATGGCAATATGATATATATAAATATATCGTGAATTTGATTATGTCAATGAATATTCTCTGATTACATCGTAATTAATATTTAAGAATAACTTTTCATAGAACAAAGGTTAAGAACAAACAAAAATTGAGCTTTACCAATTGTTGATGGAAATGATACTTTGTACAGGGAGATTCAAACGACAGTAGCTGAATACACGTATATATACCAAGGTTAGGTCAGTCAGTGAAGTCAGTGTATAGAAACACTTCCCCATTTGCAACAAAATTGATATTTATTTTAAAAGTGGGAAAAATTCGAGCACTAGTTGTACCCAATAACCTTTTCTCTTTGGGGGTCCATAAATTCCTGTTTTCAAAGTACTGTGCTTACTGATCTTTGTGAACCTGAAGCAGGAGTGTGTCATGGGATTCATGTCAAAAACCGGTGAATATTTATTGATGTATACGAGTGTGTGTGTTATATATATCTTCCTTGTTTCCTTATCATTTGTTCACGTTATTGAACCACGTGATATCACTAAACGAATTAAATTTTTTAAAGTTATTTTCTTGTATACACTTTATAATTCGCGAATTTTCTGTATACTTTAAGAAATCAAATGCACTGTCGCTGATTTAAAAGTGTATCCTGATAATGACCCAATTAATACGACAAATTCTAAAACTCTTTGCTTGTTATACCCTCTGTTCCTTGTCTAGATAAACCAGCAACTTTGTCGAGCTATTGTATTTTCTTTAATATCGTGAAAAGTTTTTTCGACTTGTTATTCATAAATGTTTCTGCCACCCACCCCCTCAGTGGCACAGCGGTAAGTCTGAAGGCTTATATCACTAAAAACCGGGTTTCACAGCACAGATAACCCATTTGGGTAGCTTTGTGCTTAACTATAAACAAACATAAATTGTTCTTTTCTAAACATTTTTTACTAACGTGAATTATGCACAATACTGGTGAAACTATAGGTACAGTTCTAACGTAAGCAAACAAACGAGACTTAATGTAACGATTTCTTCCATATATGTGAAAGTTATCAAAGATGATGTACGTCAGGTAGATAGAAGTTTGTATAAAGATAACCTCTGAAGAAAAGTTGATAGCTCCCTTGAGAACATATCGGTGTTCGAGCCGTGCAAGAAGCTTGTCTGAATATAAAACTAACAATGACTCAACTTATATTCTGTATCTCTCACACAATTTGTAGAGTAAACATTCACAGATAGCTTAAGTTCAAACTATACAAAAATAAAACCTGCTTTTCTAGTTTGGATAGGCTCACAGGAAAAGGTGGGTACTGCTCTTCTGTAACATTGAATCGTTGTATTCAAGAAATCAGAACATTTATTTTCAACATAAAACCTCTGCTTTTGAACAGGATTTTCCCACTGAATTTTGTTTCTTTTCGTAGGCCTTAAGATGTAGATTTCGTAGAAAATATCGAATAATGTTATCCAATATTTCCAGACTAATAGGTGCACGAAACAGAAGAAAGTCTGTCTTAAGTATTCCAAACAGAGGCCGAAGAACCCCGCAACATTGCTCTTCATTAAAGCAATAGTAACACTTCGTGAGAATATTCGTCCTGGTTAAAACTACTGATTAAATCGCTGAATGCTTAGGACAAGCGAATGCGTTCGATTTTCTTAGTTCAAGAAAACACACTGTAAATTACACACCGATTGCATACGGAAAATAAACAAAATAAAAACTGATTAAACAACTGTATGAAATTAACAAACAGAAAGAGAAAAATAACAAAACATAAATGTGTTAGAAATCACACAAAATGCATACAAATATTTGATAAAGATGTTACATTTTGTAGAGCGTGAATATAATAAAAATTCTTCTATTGTACGATAAAAAATAATAGGCGGTCAGATATACTGTAATACCAAAAAAACCGACATATTTTGATCCATGTTAAATAGCATTATTTCAACAACTACACACAATTAATGCAGTTGAAATAAGTATTATCCGTGATGTTAAGCATAGAAGACGTTTCTTCTGCTGCTGTAAGAAACATTGAATAATGATCAGGACGATTCTTCTACTGCTGGAAAAACACTGAAATATTATCAGGACGTTTTTTCTTCTGCTTTAAGAATCACTTATCAATGATCTCCTGCTATAAGAAACATTTAACAATGATCAGGGCACTTCCTTTGCTGCTATATGAAACATTCAACAATGATCAGGATCATTCTGCTGCTGCTATAAGAAACACTGATCAATTATCAGGATACTTCCTCTGCTATTGTAAGAAACACTTGTCAATGATCAGAATGCTTTCATTGCTGGTGTAAGATATAGTGGACAATGATCAGTTTAAAGTGATTAGACAGTTTAAAAAGTGAAACTTATTCATAACACAATAAGGAGATCAAATTTGCGATTCATATTTCAAGCTGCAAATAATGATCCCTCTTCCAGAAATTCCCTTTCCTTAGTTATAGAGAGAGGCATACACAAATAACTTCTACAGTTAAATTACTCTCGCCTACAGCTATCAAATGCCACATTTTCACTTAATAAATCCCTCAACTGGCAACGAACATCCGTCAAGAAATGTCTAAAAACTAGATGGCGCCCTAGTAACTTTAGAGGTATATATATATATATATTTATTTAAATGCGCGCGCGTGTGTGTGTGTAAAGATAGCATAACTAAAATAACAAAGGAATAACAAGGAGAGAAGAAAGAATTATTGACTGGCTACGGATAGCTCAACATTTAAACTGTTTGCTTGCTTCTTAATATAAAAGTGACAATGAATACAATTATTAGCATTATTTATTTTCTAGAGATTCTGATCTGAAAACCTTGCTTTACATAACACTGGATGCTCTATATATTTTTATATGCTTCTGTAAAAGTTTTGCTAGAACCACGTTGTGTGAGTGAATGATACCAAAGTAACATTTATAGGTTTTTTGTTCTGATATAAAATGCCTAAACTGATGAAACACGAACGTTTCTAGGCCTGCGACATGTGATTTCCAGTGCTCCTGCGCAGTGACACGATGCAACTAAGATGTAGGTTTGAAATGTAATTTTTACGCTTTCCTGGTTTTAAAGTCTGGATTGAACTGAATAATAAACTGTGAAGACAAAAAGAAAAAAAACACCTACAGTGTAACATATTGAGTTTCGTCGCATTTCTTAAGCCTAAAGAACTATAACGCGTCCCCTCACTAGGTCTTTATCGCCTTCACGTATAGTTTATGTTACAGCAACGAATAGCTAGCTTTACACATAGCCGTTTGGATACAAGACAAGGATTTGGCGTCGTTAATAAATTCTGATATTGAACAAGAAGTCTCCTTTGCAGTGACTTGTGGCTGATTAAATATAGTTCTCACATGCTAAAACATTGCGAGAAAACATCTGTATTATAATGTGATATTTCATTATATTTCTTACATCTAAAATGTTCTAAATTTCTATCAACTAATTAAACTACCCTTTTTGATAGCTTTTAATTGAAATTTCATATGAAACTTTTTCATATTACATGCTAAGATTAGTAAAACGACTTCTGAAGAAAACAGTGTTGTACTTAAAAGCAAAACATTATAAAACTTTGAATCATTTCTTCAAGAATCTTAATAAAATTAAATATAAACAGTATAAAGACGCTTTGGTCAAAATATGCTAAAAGCAAAGACCAGTCTGGTAAGAAGTATAGAGTCGTATTAGTTCAATATCAACGTATTTCTCAGAAAAAAGTATTGTTAGGTTATCGAATGCGAAACTTAAGCATTAACACACTAGTTTAGGGTTAGTAATATATAACTGTTGTTAAAGGTTGAACACGAATCTCAAAATAGCCTACGTATAAATATTAGGTTACTTTTACGACACTTGAAAAATCATAGAAGTAAGATTTTATTCCAAAAAGCTTAAAATACGTTTATTAATTTGTGTAAAAAAAATGAAAAAAATTAAATGCAGTGCATTAGCATGAAAACTGGGTTGTTTAGCATGTCAGTTTTAATCAAGTCACAAGAAATTGGTTGTTTGCTATCGTAACAGTATATCAATTATCAT